TTTTGGAAAAAAAAATTATTTTTAGACTGAAAATGCTGAAAAAAATACCATTGTTATTCAATTTTTTTTTATTTAAAAATTCATTTCTAATTTACTAATTTCACGTGGCAATTTTTTTTGTGAAGTCCAAAAAAAATATTTTCTATGAACTTAAGCGTGAATTTTAAAATCTACCAACTTTTCAGAAAAATAAAAATTCAAAAAGGGTCAAAATATTTACCGACCATGGAATTCCTCTCAAAAATTTCACCTTACAAATCATTTTATGGAATATTTAAATTATTTTCTTAATATAATTAAAAATATCGGTGGAAATTACAAATGAATAAAATAAAAGAAAATCCATTTAATTCATTTAATGACCAAAAAATAATTGCAAGAATGAAAAAGTAGATCTGAAATAAACACTATTTTATATAATTTTTTGTCTACGAAAATCTATTTTCTATTTAAAAAAAAATTGTTAAAAACATTCTGCAAAAGTGTGAAAAATTGAACGATTTATTTTTCATCGAAACATATTTATGTGAAACTTATTTTTGTTATTCTCTTAATTGTCATTTATCTAATTCTCTAAATATATTGTTGTAACAAATAATCATGTGTTATTTTAATATAGAAAAATCCTCTGAAATTTCTTTAGTTTTTCTTTGAGGTAAGTTTGAGAAATGAGACTTTTACATGTAAAATAAGAAAAAAATTAAAGTAACCACCTGTTAATTAATTTAGAACATTTTGTGAAGAGAAAATTAAAAATTTTTGTTTGAAAAGCTCGAGAAGAAGAAGCAATTTTTTTCTTTACAAAAAAATTAATTTTACCCCAAAACGATTAATTTAATATAAAAGAAGATTTCGACTTTAATACCGAAAGAGAATTTTAAAAAAGATAGTTTCGTTTAAAATTCGTTCGAAATTTTTTTTTTTTTTTAGGAATAAAATTGACAAAGTTTGGATTTTAAGAAAAAGATAATTTTTCGTTCGAATTTTTTTTTTAGGAATAAAATTGGCAAAGTCTGGATTATTGTATGAAAATTCCTTTTTTCAAGATTATGTTAAAATGAAAAAAAAGTAGCAACAAATTTGGATGATGAAGAAGAAGAATAAAGGACTGACCACGTTTTAAATTTTATTTGCAGATGGCACCGAAATTCAAAAATCTGGGATGAAAATTTACGCATCGCCAAATATGATTGTGATGAGAAAACGCTGGCAAACAATAATCAATTGAGCAATTGTTCAAATTTCAAGTCCTCGCCCAGGGAAGAAAAATCATTGAAATCAAATTCAAAACTACGATTAAAACTTGAAATCACGGATAAATCGAGGACGAAAAATTTCAATTCAGAAAAAAGTGTCTATCAATGTACAATATGTTCGAGAGAATTTAAAGCAAGAAATTTATTCGAGGGTCATATGATCGCTCACAGTGAGATTCGTCCATTTGAATGTGAACTCTGTGGAAAGTATTTCAAACGATCGAGTACATTATCAGTTCATCGGCGAATTCACACGCGCGAGAGAAATTTCATTTGCGACGTTTGTGGGCGAAGTTTCGTTCAGGCCTCACAATTGGCAACGCATCATCGCAGGCACTTTGAAAAATACACCAGACACTGTGAGATATGCAGTAAGGGATTTTTCACAAATTCCGAATTACATGGACATATGAATGTGAAACACGGCGCGAAGGAGCATGTTTGTCACGTGTGCGCAAAATCATTTCCCAATAATCACACATTGGTTCGTCATTTAAAAATTCACGATCCCAATTTTAAACCAGTGAAACATCAATGTGAATTTTGTGGTAAAACATTTGCCTATAAGAATTCGTTGGTTGTTCATGTGAAATCGCACACGGGCGAGAATAAATACGATTGTCATCTTTGTGGAAAATCTGTCTCGTCAAGGGGATCACTTCAGGATCATTTGCGATTGCACGGTGGGGAGAAATCGTTGATTTGCGATATTTGCGGCAAGGCCTTTCATAAACGAACAACACTCGTTGTACATAAAAGGACGCACACTGGCGAGAAACCATATACCTGTGATACTTGTGGAAAATCTTTCACTCAACATTCAACATTAGTTATACATAAACGTTATCATACCGGCCAACGACCTTATCACTGCAATAATTGTGACAAGTCTTTTGTCTCGAGAGCTTCACTCAATTCACACAATAAAGTTCATATTGCAAAACTCGATACTGCATAGCGATTAAAAGCAAAAAATTTGAATTTGCATTTATTTTAGAGAATATTTTTTATTCTATTACTTTCTCTACAAAAATTTAATATCAGGGATCACACTCCGCTTCTTTTTTTTTACCTAAGAAAATAGTCATTTTTTTTCAAGTCAGAAAAATGTTTACTTTGAAAAAATTCCTGTTTTTGGAATATGAAAATTATATATTAAATTTAAATTATATTTCTAATTATACTTATATTTATTATTATAAATTCAATTCTATATTTTACTAAAATACTAATTTTCAATAAATTTCAAATGTAAATTAATTTACATTTAATTTTTTTTACCTTAATTAATTTACAAAGTTTACAATGGTTTGTTCGATTTACTCTGAAAATAACGATTTTAAATAACAAATTTTACCGATTCCGGAGTTAATTAATAATATTTATTATAAGTTCAGTCTTCTTGGCCTGGAAGTAAACTTGATTTAAATTCCAGAGTTAATTTTTGTATAAAATTAATTTCAAAAATAATTATTTTATTCTATTTTTACAAAAGAAATTTCTGCAAAATTAATAGAATTCATTAATGGCAATTATTACTTTCATGGTGAATTCTACAACTTCTGAAGTTAATTTTTTCTGAATTTTACAAAAGAAATTTTCTTTTTGAAAACAGTAAAAAATAGTAAAATTCATATTTTTAGAGTAAATTTTACTATTTCTGAAGGAAATTTTTCCAATTTTTTTTTATTTAAAAATAATATCTTTGAAAATAATAAACGTTATTTAAAAAATAGTAAAATTCATAGCTATTAATAATTCTTATATTAAGAGTAAATTTTACTATTTTTAAAGTAAATTTTTTCTCGAAAAAAAATTATTTTCGAAAACAATAAAAGTTATTATGGAAAAAATAGAAAAAACTCATAGAAAAAAGAAAATTCTCTTCGAAAAAAAGTAAAAGTTATTGTAAAAATAACAATTTTTAATATCAAATTTAAAATTTCTCGAAGAGAATTTTACCAAATCCAAACTGTAAATTTTACTAATTTTTTTACTGTAATTTACTTTGCGTAGAGAAAAATTCATAGCTATTACAAATTTTTATTTTCTATTGCTGAAGTAAATTTTTCAAATTTTTATAAAAAAAAAATTGTCTTCGAAAACAGTAAAAGTTATTTGGTAAAAAATAGTAAAAAAAATTGTAATATTCTTATTTTTAGAGTAAATTTTCTATTTCTAAAATAAATTTTTCAAATTTTTATAAAGAAATTACCATTTGATTAAATTTTTCTATTTTTGATTCAAGTTTTTCAAATTTTTATATAGAAATTACCATTTAATTGAATTTTACTATTTTTGATTCAACCAAGTCCGAAGTAAATTCTACTAATTTTTTACTGCAATTTACTTCAGTTATTAATAAAAAAAAATCCACTTTAAAGTTGAAAACAAAAGCTTTTAACAAAAAATTTGATATTTATAATTTAGAAAAATTGCAGAAAACGGAAAAAAATATCTATAATTAATAGAAAAATTCCAACAACAAAAAAATTCGATTTAAAAAAGCTGTAAATAAGAGAAGTAAAAAGAAATCTTTAATATTACTTTTCTACTATAAAACAATTATTTTTTACCTAATTCAAAAAGTCCCTTCTTTTTAAAATTTTACCTCTTTTTCGATTTTGAAAATTAAAATCCCCTTGTTTACCATAAAATCACTCAAAAAAATTACTGTGATCCCTGTATTTTATCATAATAAAATTGAATATTTTATCTTTTCCAAACACAAATTATTAATCGACTATTATTTTTTACATATCTATTTATTTGAATTTCTATTTTAATGTCAAAAATAGAAATCTTTATTTTGTAAAATTTAAATATTCAAAATGAAAATATCGAATATCTACAGTGTATAAAAAATTGTGAAACATTTTTTATTACGTAGTTTTAAATCTCAAAGGGGGGTAATTAAATTACCTCATGTAATTTAGAAAGAAATAAAGAATTTTTTAATACGAAATACAAATTTCGCGTAAGTTGAAAATTTATTTCCGAGCATTTACAGTATTTACGATTCTTTAGCATAGAGAAAAATAATGCACATTTTTTTCTTATAGAAAATGATTTTCACAAAGGGGGAAATCGCAAAGGAAAATATCTCATTTTGCTATTTCCTTTGCGATTATTATTTTTTTTCTTCTGAAAGAAAATAATTCGCGAACAAAGCATTATTTTTTTGTGTAGTTTATTTTTTTTAATAGCACACATTTTTGGATGATAATAATAATTTAAAGAAATTGACCATCGACTCGTCGATTCTATGCCATTATTTTTCTCTGTGTTAATTTTGGAAAAAATGCTATATCGATATTTCTTTCATAAAATACGAATCAAAATTTTGATTCGTTTTTTTGTAAAAAATAGCGAATCAAAATGTTGCTTTGTATGAAAGAAAAAACGAATCAAAACTTTGCTTCGTGTTTTGTTTTAATTTAAACTGTAAAAAACGGGAAAAATTCCTTTTTGCAGGCAAAGAAAAAATTCAATTTTCTCAGGATAACGAGTCGATTGTCAAATGATGGAAAAATAAACAAAAAAAAAAACTATCGGAAAAGAAATTTAAGGGCACTGACTGATGTAGTCCTCGAATTTTCACATTTCAGATACAATCAGCTTTCCATTCCGGATGTGTATTGTGATAAGGAGTCGGCAAAGAAAGTCTTCAGTCCAAAAGCGAGCGGAAATGATGAGAGGCTGAAGGGTAATGATATCAAGAAGGAGGGCAACGATCTCGATATAGAGGAAGATGACTATGAGGAGGAGGAGGAGGAAGAAGAAGAGGACGAGGAGGAAGAGGAAATCGTCTTCAACTGTTCGAATTGCGCAATGTCCTTTGAATCTCAAAAGCAACTCGACAATCACGAGGAAGAGCATAAGGGTAAGCGAAAAAATACCTGTGCCCATTGTGGTCGTGTTTTTCGGACCTATGTAAATTTACGTAAACACATGAAGAAGCACACGAGTCGAAGAGGTCGAAAACCAGGTTCCAATAACGTAGGTCGACCGCCGCTGAAAGTAAAAGAGGAAAAGCACGACGAGGAATTCGTTTGTAAAACCTGCAACAAAATATTCCGACACAAGAGCAACTATCAAAAGCATCTTCTCCGTCACACTGTCGGCGATCTCACCTGCAAACATTGTCCGAAAAAATTCCGACTTTTCCGCGACCTCACGAGGCATGAGAAAACACATTTCTATCCCAGTTACATGTGCAAGGAGTGCGACTACGAGACAACAGTTCTCGCCGCCCTCAGTATTCACATGCTCCGCCACACCGACAAGGCCGATCTCCCCTTCAAGTGCACCGATTGCGATAAACATTTCCGCAAGGCAATCGATCTACAAGAACACTACAACATTCATTCCGGCGACAAACCCTTCATTTGTCAAATTTGCGGCAACGCCTTCTACCTCAGACGACAATTATCAGCTCATTGCCGTCGAATGCATCCCGAGATGAAAGCAAATAAAGTCACGAGTACAGCGTGCGATATTTGTGGTCGTGTTCTCGCCACAAAAAGATCTTTGTTCCGTCACAAGGAGAGTCATAATCCAACGAAACTCTATCTCTGCGATTATTGTGGGAAAAGTTTGAGCAGTGCCGAGCATCTCAAGAAACATCGACGTATTCACACCGGTGAAAAGCCGTATGTCTGCGATATTTGCGGAAAGGGCTTCACCGACTCGGAAAATCTTCGAATGCACCGAAGAGTACACACCGGTGAGAAACCCTATAAATGCGATCAGTGTCCAAAGGCATTCAGTCAGAGGTCAACACTCACTATTCATCGACGTGGACACACCGGTGAACGACCATACGTCTGTCAAATTTGTCATCGCGGCTTCTCCTGTCAGGGAAATCTCACCGCTCATCAAAAGTCAACCTGTGTTTAATTTTTCCGTCTCTCTTTTTCACAATCCCGTAAAAACAAATTTAAAATTTTCTACCCTGAAAAAAAAAAATAGAAACTAAATAGGAAAAAAAACTAAATTGAAAAATAAAATTAGTTAAATAATCTTTAACGTCCGAGATCCTTTATAAATTAAGGCAAATTAAACGAAAACATTTGGACAATGAATAAAATATTTATTTACTGGAGTAAATAAATATCCGAATGTTTTCGTTTAATTTGCCTTAATTTGAAAAATAAAACTAAATTGAAAAATAAAAGTAAATAGAAAAATAAAACTAAAATAGAAAAAATAGAAACTAAAAAACAAATTTCTACTCGAAGCCACTTTACTTCCAAATTACTCAAAGTAATTGGAAAAAGAAGAATAAAAAAACAAATTCCTGACCGAATAAAAAAAATAATTCTATTTTTTCTGTAATTACAATTTAAAAAAAAATTTTGTATTGTTCGCAAAAATTTTTTTTTCTCGTTAAATTGAAGTTTCCCATTTTCGTTATCAAGTGATTTAGACAATGATGAGAGTTTAGATTAAAAAAGAGAGAGAGTGATGTTAACGCGTAAATGATATTAAATTTAAGCATAATTGATTAATCGAACGATTAATTTATTAGTTACACGTGGAAGTTTCGTTATTAAGAATTTTAGAGCGCACTCGTACAATTGTTGCCTATGTATTTGGTGCATGACCTTTCAGAATAAATAGATTTTTATATATTTGACGAATTGTTATCTAACGCGGTATAAATTTTTTTTTTTTTTTGTTCAAAAACCTTGTTTTTAGTTGGAATAAAAATTTGGAAAATTTATTTTTGAAAATAGGAGAGAGTTTTGGGGACGAAATTTTTAACTGTATATCGAGAAAGTGATTTAAATCGAAAAAAAATAATTTTTATAATTTTTTAGAGGAATTCAATGTTTAGAAAATATTTATTTCCTTTTTGAAGTTTTTTTTTCTTTAAAAATTAGCAAATTTTGCGATCCATGTGAATTTTGTGGAGAATATTTTTTTGGACTTCACAGAAAAATTGCCGAGTGAAAAAATTGATTTTTACAATTTTTGAAGCAATTTTGAAAAAAAACTAAAAATAAAAAATTTTTATTCAATTTTTTTCTTTGAAAATTCATTTTTGTTCATTTTTCTACCTAATTTCAGATGATTTTTTTATTTTTTATATATAAAAATTATGGTCTGAAATTAGTTAGAAAAATAAACAAAAATTTCTACTCAATAATACTTAAAAAAAAAATTTAATAATTTTATGGAATAGTATTTAAATTACTTTCTTGATAAAGTTAAAAATATTCGTTGTACTCTCCCTTTAAAACCAATTTTCTGAATTTTTCCTTTTTCGTAAATTATTTACATTATTTTAATTTTTTTTTCAATTTTTCTTCCTTGAAAAATTCAAATTTTTTTCAAAAGTATTCTCTTTTTGAAAAAAAATTCAAATTTTCTCGAAAGAAGTCTTTTTTTAAAAGAATTGAATTATTATTTAAAAGAAATTTTAATGTTTCCGCATAATTATTATATTTCTTGCCTAATTAAAGATAATTTATTAATATAAGAAAAAAAATGTTTACAATTTTTATTTGAAAAAATTTGGTAATTTTTTCATTTACACGGAAAGAAAATAAATATTAAATTACAAAGTTTTTTACAATTTGTGGGAAAAATGCAAAAATACCGAAATTTTGATTTAAAAAAATTTTATAAATACTCGTTACGAAATTTAATTAAAAAAAAAAAAATTAAAATCATTCCATATTTTTATCTCAATATATTTCAATTTTTCCCCCTTGAATTTTTTTTAGAAATAATTCTTTTTTCAAAAGAATCGAAATATTAAAAGGAACTTTAACTTTTCCTTTTTAATATAATTGCTAAATTTAATTTTTTTCTTAATTCTGTATAAAAAAATTTCTAATTTTCTCAAATTGTAAAATAATTTTTTAATACAATTTTTATTTTCTCTCCGTGTAAGAATTGAAGTTTCCAAAAATATTTTTTATATGATCGACAATTTTATTTCAAAAAGTTTTATTCGAAATTAAATTCCTCAAAAAAAAAAAACACACACACAAAATGATTATTAAATCACAACCTAGTCGGCCTGAATATTGTTAAAAATGATTTTTTTTATTACTCTCTAAATGTAAGTTTTGTCTTGAATTTTTCATTAAATGCTCACACGTTTATGGTTATTGCATATTTTCGAGGCTGTGTATTTTGTATAAAATAATTTTGTATTATCATTCCTTAAGAATTTATTAATTTACCTCGTTATTAATCGAAAAACTACACTATATTCTGGTTTTTAAATGAAAATTTACTTTTGTAGAAAATCAATTTATATAAAATATTATTGTGCTTCCCGAATAAATAATATTTCAATATTAATAATTGCGTTCTTTTCGTCTTTACCTGCGAAAAATCAAAATCTCAATTACGTTACAAAAAAGAAGTCTTTAAGACTTCTTTAGAAAATTTTTTAGAAAATTTCTAAAATAATTTCTTTTATTTCTCAATATTAATTTTTAACAAATATATTTTTGTTTCAGAGCTTAAAAATGTTTTTATTAATTTCTCCTTTTTTTTGCTAAAGAAAGGGAAAAGGGAATTTATTGAATTTTTTTTGCAATTTGTCACAGATTTATGTCTTCTTAAATTATTACTGCGAGTTCGAGAAAAAAAAACAAAAAAAGTTCCGAAATTTCCTTTAAAAAAAATATCGAGAAATTACATTCACTGACTATACTGTCCGTGTTTCAGAAGAAGAACCGGAAATGGCACGAAGATGAGACGAAAACCAAGGAGAGAATTTAAAGAGACATTTTTTAATGCGACGAGTGATGAAAATATTGACATTGACGTGAAAATTGAAACTGTCTATCATGGATTTGACGATAAGGTTATTTATTCAAAGAGCGAACCGGACGTCGATCAAGTGCTTGACAATCTTCGAAATACTTGTCCATTTTGTGAGAAACGATTCAAGGATGAGGCGAAAGTTGAGAGGCACGTGAGGGCAGTTCACAAAAGACCTTATAAATGTGACTTGTGCCGGAGATCGTATTTCACCGCCCGAGTTCTTGAGGAGCATCGAAAAACGCACAGCAGTGATTTTTTCTTCGAATGTTCAATTTGTCATCTAAAATATAAACGCGAGGAAGGACTTAAGCAGCATCACATTCGCGTTCACAGTGAGACTGAGGCAAAATTCATGTGCGATCATTGTGGCAAGAGGTACAAATTAAAACTGGATCTTTTGCTTCACATCGGCAGAACGCACATGTGTAATATTCAAATTTGTCGATTTTGCGGCAAGGCTGTGAAGGATGTCAAGGGACACGAGTGGCGACATCAAAAACGTTCACGAAAATCGAATATGGATTACGTTTGTCATTTGTGCTTTAAAAAATTTCGCAGTAAAACAAAACTCGACAATCATTTATTGATGCACAAGGAGCGATACACTTGTCAGGAATGTGGTCTCGAATTATCGGGACCCAGTCAATTGATGAATCACAAACTCAAACATAAACCGGGAATGACTTGCAGAGTGTGCGCTAAGGTTTTTATTTCGAGGAGTAATTTTTATCAACACGTCCTTACGCACGCCGGTATCAGGCCTTATAAATGTGACGTTTGCAATGAGGATTTCACTCAACGTTCGAGTCTTCTTAGGCACAGAAAAAATCATCCTGGACCACTTCCACCTCTTCTCACACCGACGCCAATCGCCGATCTCGCAAGAAACGTTTTACAAAAACTCTAAAATCTTTTTTTCTTTCTTCTCGTTTCTCGATTTTCAATTTTTTTTTGTTCTGTAAAAAATTCCCAAGGCTGAAATTTATTTATGTAAAAATTGTTTTACACCTTTCGCTACTTTACGAAAGCGAATAACTGACTTCAAATACGATCGATAAAGTGAAATAAAAGTACAATAAAATATTCTCAATATCAAATTCTTGCATTTTTCTCATTATCCCGAGATAACAATTATTTTCAGCCAAAAAATATACAAATCGAGGGAAATTCAATCGAAATTCAAAATTTCGTTTATAAGAAATTTTTTTTAGCTTATTTTCATTTCAAAAATAATTTTTCCCTCCACGCCCTCAGAAAAGAAAGGAAATAAATAATGATGAATAATTGGAATTCCCCTCAGTGTCAATTATTTTTTCTACTTAATAAATTTAACATTATTCTTATTTTTCCAGAAATGGTGGAATGGATAGTCATGAGATAAGTCTAGTTATAGAAGATGATTTTCAACGTCGTATCAAAAATGAAGAATCAAAATTTCAAAATGAATACAAACTGTTTTTAGCAAACAAACACGCTGTTAAATATTTCGACTGTGATTTAAAAAAAAAGAAGAGCAAACTCACCAAAAACGATTGCTTTTTTTGCGATGAAATTTACAATTCCGAACTTGAATTTAAAGCACATTTAATGCCAGTGAAGAAAAGGCGTAAAAAATACAAACATCTGGAGTGTGATTTTTGTAATATAATATTCATCACAAAATGTGGGCTAAGAAATCATTCGGTATTTCATCACAAAATTTTATGCCATCTACGTTGTCATAAATGTGATGGACATTTTAGAAAAACTCGTCATTTCCTTCGTCATATGGAAGTGTGTAGTGGACGGAAATTTTCGACAACGCCAAAATTCGAAGCAGAAGCAGAACGAAATATTTGCTCTCAGTGTCGAAAAAGTTTCACGACAAAGAAACTTTTAAATGTTCACGAGAATGAACACAAAAAATTTCAATGTAAAAATTGTAAGAAGAAATTTTTAACTAGAATCTTGCTGCGAGAACATGCTTGTTCTAAAAAACGAGATGTCACGAAATTTCCATGTCCAAAATGTAAGAAGAATTTCGTCTCCAAAGCCTATCTTATAAAGCACATTTTCAGTGACCATTAAACAAAGTAAACTATTTATGAGAAAAATATTGTAATTTAATAGAATTTTTCGAGAAAATATATTTCTTATTTTTGTACGATAAATATTTTTTGTTTCTTTTAATTATGTCAATAGAAAAATTATAAAGCAACAGTTTTTTTTAAAAAAGAATTTTTTTTTTTTAATTTTTCAAAGAATTTGTCAACGAATTGGTCGAAGAATTTGTCAAAGAATTGGTCGAAGAATTTGTCAAAGAATTTTTTAACTAAAAGAAATATTTCCGCAAAACGTGAATAATAATCAAAATTAAATATTATTTATTAGCTTTTCGTAAATTGTTCCAAATTTCACTAGCTTCAAGAAAAAGGCAATGAAACTAAAAGGTAAATATCAAAACTTTTTTTTAAATCGATTTTTAAAAAAGTATTCTTTTCACTGACTAAATCCTTTTGTTTCAGGAAAAAACACTTCTTCATTGATTTGAAAATCGAAAAACTGTCAATAAAAAAAATAAGATCAATAATTTGTCTTATTTTTCCCCTATTTGGAAAATATTCTTCCAAAAACCCGAAATTTGGGAAAAATTTGAAAATTTCTCAAGCTAACAGTGAAACTACCAAAGTTTAAATATTAAGAATTAAGAACGAAATTTTTGTTAGATTACTATGCGAGAATTTTGTAAAAATTAAGAACTGATTTTATGATATTTTCTCTTAATTTTTAGATGCTATCTACTAGAGCGACTGAAGACGGAAAAAAATGCCGAATATTTTGAAAATTCAAAGAAATCAGAACCGATGGTGAGAATCAAAGAGGAAAATCTTCCGGAAAAGGGACAATGGGAGAAAATAAATCGAAATTTACCTGTTTTTGTCGAAATTCCTCTGAAGGAAGAACACTTTGAGATTTATCTGCACGAAAATTTTGTTGATGAAGAATATCAATCAAATGATAAATTAAATTTACATTTAAAAGAAGAAGAAGAAGAAGAAGAAGAAGTTTTGGATGGGGAAATTTCGGAAAAGGAAGATGAGGAAAAAGCGGAACAGAACTTGAAGAAAAGCAGTGAAGCAAGAAAGGAAAAGAAGAAGGAAAATTTACCCGTAAAAACAAAAAGAATGAGGCAATTTTTCACCTGTGAATTCTGCAAACGCACTTTTGATCGTAAGAGCAGATTTACAAATCACATGTTCACGCACACAAGTCATCAACCTCATAAATGTTCCGTTTGCTCGAAAAAATTCAAAAGCGTCAAATATCTGCAGAAGCACATGGAAGTTCACGATTTGCCGGACACATCGCACAGTTGCGATCTCTGCGACTATAAAACGCGAAGAAAAGCCTATCTCAAGTCGCACTACATTCGCCGTCACACTCAAGAATATAATTACTCCTGTGAACATTGCGAAAAACAATTTAAATTAAGAGCCGATTACACTTGTCACATAAAGACTCACGAAGAAGGAATTTTTATGTGCGAAATTTGCGGCAAAACTTTTCCAAACCGAACTTCACTCTACTTTCACATGAAGCGAAATCATCACGCCACTGTCAAGGACTTCGAGTGCGAAATTTGCCACAAAAAATTCGCCAACCAAACAAATTTAAACAATCACGTTCAATTGCACGACCTAAAGTTTATTTGCGACCACTGTGGCATGGAATTCGGAAATAGAAACAATTTAGCAAAACATCTTCACACACATTCCAATGAAAAGTCCTACACCTGCAATATTTGCTCCAAGACATTCCGCCAAGAGAGTTCGCAAAAACTTCACCTCCTCTCTCACGCCGGCACAAGACCCTACAAATGCGACATTTGCGGACAAGCTTTCACCCAAAGAACCCCAATGATGATTCACAGACGGAAGAAACACGCCGACGTTCATTCCCGACCACCCTCGATAAACATCAACAATCTTCTTCTCAAAGTTCAGGAAAAAATTATTAACGACTCGAAATAATTTTTGTACAATTGCCTTTTGTAGTTGGAAATAAAAAAAATTTCAAACAAATACTTTTTTCTTTCTTTGGCAAATTTGTTTCTATTCACTATTATCAAACTAAAAAAATCCAAGACTTTCTCATTTTTGCTGAGAATGTAAAAAGTGAGAAATAAAAGGTAAATCGCTTTTTAATTAAATAGAAAAATTTAATTTCTCTTACTGAAATATTTTATTATGTTCCAGGAACAAGAACGATCCTCTTCACATTCAAGTCTACAAGAGAATAATAATCGGACATCAAAGTGTCTGGATTCCGGAGTCAAAGCTGAAGGAACTGGAAAATCTTGCCAGTGCATCTAAATTGACGAGCGAAAATCTGACAATCGAGAATCTAACAGGCGGAAATGTGCCAACCAAAAGTCTGATGACCGAAAATGTGACAACCGAAAATATAAAAACCGAAAATCTGTCGACCGAAAATCTGATGACCGAAAAACTGATAACTGAAAATGTGATAACTGACCTTCAACCAACCGAAATCGAAGAAGCAGCAGCAAAAGAGAGCGAAGCGGAAACAATTTTCACCTGCGAAATTTGTCACTACACTTTCAATCGAAAGAGCCGTCTCACTGAACACCTGCTCAGTCACAACGATTACAGACCCTACAATTGTTCAATTTGTCAAAGAAGTTTCAAGTACACGAAAAATTTGCGAAAACACATGAAAATCCACGAAACCCCAGACACTTTACACAACTGTAATTTATGCGACTATCAAACAAGATGGAAACGTTATCTCAAGACCCACCACATTCGAATACACATACGAGAATATAAACTAACTTGCGACATTTGTGGAAAAAAATTCGGTTCCAAATCCTCATTGAGAGCCCACATGAATCATCACGAGAGAGAGGCGTTCAAATGCGTTATTTGCGGGAATTTCTGTCACAGTGAGAAAACACTCTACAATCACATGAAGAAGAAGCACAAGCTCGACAAGAACTACGTAAAAACCACTTGTCCATTCGGAGCCGAGGAGAATTTAAATCCAATTCCCAAGAAGCCAACAATGAAAATAATTTACGCGAGTGAAATTTGTGAAACATCATTAAAGCCCCCCGAGGCCAGTGAACTTACGGAGAATACGAATAAATGCAAAACTACCCAACCACATCGATGTTCAATTTGCCAGAGGATATTCAAAAATTTCATTAATTTACAAAAACATATGAAAAATCACGATTTAGAAAAAGCATTCCAATGTTCAATTTGCCAGAGGATATTCAAAAATGTCATTAATTTACAAAAACATATGAAAAATCACGAATCGAACACTGTATTACATAGTTGTAATCTCTGTGATTATCAGACAAAACGAAAAGCTTATCTCAAATTTCATTATATTCGTAAACACCCCCAGTGAATATATATTGAAAATACTCATTCGAAAATAAGTTTTTCGAAACTTTTCATAATCTTTTATTTTATTTCTGGAATTTCGATTCCTTGACAGTATTCACAGCATAAAAATCACATTAGAATTTAAGGAACTTTTGTTCATTGTCATTCAAGTTACAAGAATATTTTTTATATAATAAAAACATCTTTTTTTGCAATAATTTTTTTTGTACATTTTTTCCCCTTTTTTCTCCCACTGTACCAAAAAATATTTTAGCAAAATTAATTAATTATTCAGCAAATTATTTATTTAAGGAAAAAAGTTCCTATGGTCCTGGTGAAGGTAAAAAAAGGTAAATGTAAAAAAAATTAAAAAAAGATAAGATCCAGTACTTTTTGAAACTAACGTAATTTTTTTGATTTTCAGGAAAAAAGATGATCCGCTCCGTCGTCAGGCGTACAAGAAAATTTCAATTGGCAACGAAAGTGTTTGGCTACCGGAATCACAGATCGAAGTGCTGAAGAGTCGACCATTTTGGACGACGAAATTATCGTTGAAAATCGAGGATGTTGAAAATGAAAGGAATGAGAAGCAGGAGATTTTAACGTACTTTCGAACTTTGAAACCATTGAATATTGTTGTTAAGGATAAATCAGGATCGATAATTGAAAATCGACTAGTATTACAGGAGGAGGAACGAGAGAAGGAAGAAGAAGATGCATTATTTACGAAAAAAGGAATGAATTTTTTGGAGACACTCGAGAATGGTGATTTTAACGAAAATCAAATAATTCCACAAGATGAAAATGAAACTAACAGGGAGGATGCAAATAATTCCTGTAATTTATCAACGGGTGTTGGGAAACAACTTGGGAAACAATTTTTCAAAGAAGAGAATTCGAATGACACACCAGTCGTAAAGAAGAAAAGGACCAAAAATTAAGGGAAAAGTGTTAAAAGAAATGAGAATGTAAAATTTCCAAATTTATTAACAGAAAAAAAGAAAAGATCAATGGAAAAAAAGAGACAAGTTGTGAAAGAAATGAGGCGGAAAATAGGAAAAAGAATTATCGAGCGGAAATACGAGATATATTTTTAAATGAGAAGATTAAGTGATGTGATAAAAAAATACGGGAACATTTTTCCTTAAATCCTAAGAAAACTTGAATTTATAAAATTCTGTTAAAAATTAAATTATATACGAAGCTAAAGAATTTATACGAAACTATATAATGTAGATTTTTTTATAGAAATAAAAACATATTTTCTATCGCTTTTAAATTTTTCGTAACTTCTTCTTTTTGTCTTCAATATTCAATTTGTTAATTCAATATTCGTTTGTTAATTACACTGAAAAAAAATTTATTTGATTCAAATAACCATTTACTTGACAATCAATTAAATATTTATTTGAATCAAATATTATTTATTGGAGTCAATTAAATGATATTTGAACTGAATTTCAGTATTTGAGGCAAATACGATTTAATTGACTCCAATAAATATTATTTTATTCAATTAAATAATTAATTGAGTCCAATAAATATTCTTTGATTCAATTAAATATTTAATTGAGTCCTATAAATATTATTTGATTCAATTCGGTTTTTTTAATCAAATAAATTTTTTTTGTAATTGAAAAGGTGGGAATAAAAGTTGATATATCCGAAAATCACTTACCTTTAATTCTTCAACGCTGATGGAAAATTACGCCACGAAGATTTATCTCCCAGTAGAAATCTGGAAAAGAAGAAAAAATTGTCCATTAATAATTAAATTTGTTATAATTTGATTCTTTAGAAATTTTAAATTTTAAATTTTATCTCTAAAAAATATTAGTTAGATTAAAATTAGATTTATCTAAAAAATATTCAAACAAGTATTTCTAATTTTTTAATTAATAAATAAACCATGAAAATCGGTTGCTTTTTTTTGCAAATTGTATTCTTCTTCGACCATTAAAAATGAAAACATTTTTCAAGTAAGTATCAAAAGTTTAGAACTACCTTTTTTTTATGAATATTTTTACTAATATATTTTATTGTTTTAGGATATCAACTTTAGTGAAAAGTCAAGAAGAGACGAAAGTTCTTCAAAAAAAACCGCAATACTCGAGAAATTACAATTTTTTTCCGCCTCGTCTAATTTAATGGTAAATATTTCAAAGTAATGTTATTAAATATTTAAATTAAGTAATTGAAGTCTTTTGTGATAGAAATAAACATTAATTTAAATCTTTTTTCAGATTCCCAAGTCGGAGAAATAAGGAATATTTTTGCAAAGCAAAATTTGTCGATAAAATGAAATCAGAAATTTCAGCCAGAATTATCACTTCATTGTAAGATGAAAGAAAGCAAAAAAGGGAAAAAACAAATCAAGACTTGGATTTTACAGAAAAAAATACATTAAACAAAATTTTTTATCGATTTTCTCGGGACGAAAGCAATTTCGTTTCGAGGGAAGAATTTTCAAGACAATTAAAATTTTGAACGATTGTGCAAAAAGTTATTCCCAGGAAATTAGAGTGAAAATAAGAAGAGGATTTTTTCGTAAATTTTCCACTCACAGAAGCGGAAAAATACTTGGAAATAAATAACAGAAGAGGAAGAGTGCAATAAAAAAATTCAAAGATCTCTACGATCGTTTTTCGATTTACAAGAAAATAAATCGAAATATTTAAAAAAAATACTTGTTGCGTGTTTAAAAAATTTTATTTCTACTTCAATTTTGTTTCCATACGAGGGAAAGTAGAACAAATTATTTACCAAGTCTCATGAAAATCGAATCGTCAAAAAAATAAAAAATTGAGCTATTGAATGAAAAATTTAAAAAATAATCTAAATCGATCGTTTTTCTTTAGACACTCGCACCATTTTCCTCTTCTCTCTAAATTTTCATCTTTATTTCTAGGTCCCCACTTTTACTCGTTTCAAATAATTCAAGGTGAAAATAAAAAATAGTTTTTTATACTCTTTAAAATTATTCTCTTCTTTCCAACTCTAGTAATTTTTCCACTAATTCATATCATTAATGTTTTAGGCTTCCAACTCTACTGAAGAGAAATCAACAGCCAGGAGTGGAGAAAAAAAAACCAGTCTACATAAGAAAAGTCCAACTCAATCGAAATGAAAAAACTGTTCTTCAAAATCCAGAGGCAAATTTACAATCTTTCATAATCATTCGAACAATCGCTCCAAAATCGTCGCAACAGACAAAATTAACTCCAGTGAAATTAACTCAATTGACGAATGTAAAAAAATTAAATCCACCAGCCACCAGTAACAGTATTTTGGTAAAAGTTATCAAAACAACGGAAAACAGCAAAGTTCGTACAAAAATGGAATTTTTGAAAAATAGCCAATTGGAAGAAAGGAAAAATATAAGAACGGAGGAATTGGAGAATAAAAATAAGGAAAATTTAAAAGAAGGCTGTGAAAGAACAAAGAAGGGAATAAAAAAGGAAAATACAGAAACAGAAATGGTTGAAAATAGAGAAATTAAAATAAATGAAAGAAGTGAAATAAATAAAAGAAGTGAAATAAATGAAAGAAGTGAAATAAATGAAAGAAATGAAGTAAATGAAATAAAAATGGAAATAAAAGAAGAAGAGAATGCGAAGGAGGAGAAAATGGACGTTCTCTACAAAAAATTAAACGACGGAAAATTCACTTGTGACATTTGTCAAGCGACTTTTCCCCAAAAGAGCAAAATGCTCCGTCACCTAAAAGGCAAACACAGTTTTCACAGACCCTTCAAATGCTCCCTCTGTCCAAAGGCCTTCAAATACAAATGCGATCTAAAATCTCATCGTCTCGTTCATCAGGACCTCGATTCAAATTCAATGCATTTTTGCGATAAATGTGACTATCGTTCAAAAACAAGAAACAATCTCAAAGCCCACTACATCCGCAAGCACACCGAAGATTATAAATATTTCTGCGAACATTGTGGAAAAAAATTCAAAATGGAATGGGATTTGAAATTCCACCTCGGCACTCATGGTTCATTGCAGCATATGTGCGATATTTGTGGAAAATTCTACACCAGCAATTATTCACTCTACAAACATCGTAAAGTGACGCACTTAAATAATTACAAATTTCAATGTTCAATTTGCAATAAACGATTATTGACGCAAAAGAATCTCGACAATCATATGAAGCAGCATCAGAAAACGTACGATTGCAAGGAGTGTGGAAAGAATTTCTCATCGAAAAGATATCTTGCCTCGCACGCAACAATACACACGGAAATAAAACCATTCAATTGTCATGTGTGCGATAAAACATTTCGAACTGCACACTTGCGAAATGTTCATCTCTACACTCACAGTGAACATCGGCCGTATATTTGTGATCTATGCGGACAAAGTTTCAAGAGACGATACTATATGATGGAGCACAGGAAAAAGCATCCCGACTCTCATCTATCATCGCCTCCGATTCCCCTCGGCAGTGACAGTTGTCCAAAATTCATCAATATTTAATTTTTGTACTTTTTTCTTTTTCATTCAAATTCGAAAAGAAAATTTTATTCGAACAAAAATAGAAATTGTTTTTATTGATAAATCAGGGCTCGAACTAGGTCCGTAAATCCTTTAAATTTGCATCAAGACTGTAAAAGTCAGTTTTTTTGATAAAAACGTCAATTCAATTATGTTAAGAATTTTTTTTAAATTTTTGCGTCAAAATTTCAATTATCTTTATAAATATAATAAAATTCTTCTCCGAAATTCAATTATTTTCAGGAATTTTAATAAAATTCTTGGAAAAATTCAATTATTTTCAGGGATTTTAGTAAAATTTCGTGCAAAATTCAATTATTTGCAAGGATTTGAATAAAATTTCTTGCAAAATTCAATTATTTTTATAAGTAACCAAAATTTATCACAAGAATTCAATTATTTACATAAGTAATAGAATGCTTCTCAAAAATTCAATTATGTTAAAAAAAATTTTTGATTTTGCGTCAAAATTCAATTCAATCTTTATAAAATAATAAAATTTTTCTCCTAAATTAAATTATTCTCAAAAATTTTAATAAAATCCTTGACAAAATTCAATTATTTTCAGGATTTTCAATAAAATTCTTTGCAGAAATTTAATTATTAATAAGTAAATTTAAATATAAATTTAAATATAAATTCTCGTCAAAATTTCAATTATCTTTAGAAATATTAAAGTTCTTCTCCGAAATTCAATTATTCTCAAAAATTTTAATAAAATTCTTGTCAAAATTCCAATTATTTTCAGGAATTTTAATAAAATTTAGGGCAAAATTCAATTATTTGCAGGAATTTTAATAAAAATTTTTGCAAATATTAATTATTTTTATAAATAACCAAAATTCTCAGAAATTCAATTATGTTAAAATTTTTTTTTAAATTTGGATACAAATTTCAATTATCTTTATAAATATAATAAAATTTTTCTTCTAAATTCAATTATTTTCAAAAATTTTAATAAAATTCTTGGCAAAATTCAAATTATTTTCAGGAATTTTAATAAAATTTCGTGCAAAATTAAATTATTTGCAGGAATTTTAATTAAATTTTCTGCAGACATTCAATGATTTTTATAAATAACAAAAATTTATCACAAGAATTTAATTATTTGCAAATATAATAGATTGCTTCTAAGAAATTCAATTATGTTAAACAAATTTTTTAAATTTTCTTCAAAATGTCAATTATCTTTATAAATAATAAAATTTTTCTCCGAAATTCAATTATTTCAAAAATTTTTATAAAATCCTTGTCAAAGTTTAATTATTTTGAGGAATTTTATTAAAATTCTTACCAAAATATGATTATTTTCAAGAATTTTAATAAAATTTCGTGTAAAATTCAAATGTTTACAGGAATTTTAATAAAATTTTTTGCAAAAGTCGATTATTTTCAAAAATTTTAATAAAATTCTTGGCAAAATTCAATTATTTTCAGGAATTTCAATAAAATTCTTGACAAAAATCTATTATTTTTAGGAATTTTAAATTTCTTTAAAAAATTAAATTTTTTCCAGGAATTTTAATAATATTCTTATCAAAATTTAATTAATTTAAAGGATTTTTATAAAATTTCGTGCAAAATTAAATTATTTGCAAGAATTTGAATAAAATTTTTTGCAAAATTCAATTATCTTTATAAATAACCAAAATTTTAAAAAATTCAATTATGTTAAACAAATTTTTTAAATGCTTGGAAAAATTTCAATTATTTTCAAAATTTGTTCTGAATACAATGATTCAATAAATTATTTATTTTTCTGTTTAAATAATTGAATTTTAGTAGAATTTTCTTATAAAAATTGATTTAAAAATGAATTTCAGTTAAAATTTTAGATAATAATTGAATATTAAAAGCATTAAAGCGTGAATTTTTAGAAATAATTGAATATTTGAAAAGGTTTCGTATTAAAATCTTTGAAAGTTTTTTTTTCATACTTTTAACTAACAAGTCTGTAGAAGAATTAATTTTTTTTGAAAAAGCTTATTTGAATTTTACAGTTGAAATTCATTTTTTGGAGTTTTTATTTTCTTATATATATTTAATTGAAAAATATCCGAATAATTGAAATTTTGTAATATTGAATTGTAAACAAATGTATTTAAAAATTCTCAAAAAACTTTTTCAAGAATTATCATAAATAATGGATTTAAAGAAGAATTTTAGTTAAGAAAACACTAAAAAAAATTTAATTTTGGAAAAATCCGTAAAGTTTGTATTTTTAAATACTTTCACTGGTTCGAGCCCTGACAAATGAGAAAGAAATGTTTTTGTTTCAAAAATCCAATTGGATTCTTCCTCCCTTCAAATGAGAAAGAAATGTTTTTTTTTTCAAAAATCCAATTGAATTTTTCCTCCCTGTTATCATTTCCTAAATCTTCGATGTATTTATAAAATATTTTCCTAAGAAAACCATTTTTGTACAGTACGTTTGTTAGTGAGAAACACAAAATAAGAAATAAAAAATACTCTTGAAAAATAAACATTATCTAAAGATTTCTAAAAAAAAAAAAACCTAAAACCGGAATAAAAAGTAAGTTGCCTAAAAAATGGAAATGATTCCCAAAAAAAACAATTAACCGATACTAATGATTTATTATTTTTTTGATTTTGTTCAAGGAGACGCAAACACGGGAAAACAGTGATGATCCAGAATTCAGCGGGGAATTTTATTCTAAAGGCAAATCCAGTTCCAATGCGCCTCTGCCAATACATTGATTCAAATGGAAAAACAAAATATTCCCTTCTACCAATATTGGAAGTGAAAAATTCAACACCAACAACCAACGTGATAAAATTGGAACAAGAAAATAATGAAGAACCATCATCGAATGATAATTTCCACTCATGCGGTGAATGTTCACAAATATTTTTATCCGATTCACAACTTCAGGAACATCAAGCGACACACAGTAAAAAATGGAAAATGAAAATACGCCATTTTTGCAGTCTCTGTAATTTTGAAAGTGACAATAAAGACAAATTATCATCACACTATGAAAATGAGCACAATGTTGGGAATAAGAATAGAAAAAAATTCTCCTGCGACATTTGCGATTTTACTTGTCTCAAACAGAAGAGTTTAGAAGCACATGCTTGGCTACATTCGACAAATGATAATGACTCGAATTCTGATGACATCCCCTTCGAGCAGGATCCTTTAATCGATCATGAATTCAATAATGAGGAGGAAATAATTCACGAGGAGGAAATAGTTAACGACGAAGAAATTATTAACGACGAGGAAATTATTAACGATGAGGAAATTATTAACGAGGATATAAATAACGAAGAGGAATTAGTTAACGAGGAGGAATTTAATATCGAATTCGACAACGACAACGTGGTTAAACTGAATGAACTGAATGAAATGAACGAGAGTTTGAAGAAGAAACTAAGACCGAAGGGTATGAAAAAGAAAAAGGAAAGATTATCTTGTCCGCAGTGCAATTTCCGATGTTTAAAAGAGTCGACACTCCTCGATCACATCACTGAGGAACATGAAATGGAAGCGGAGAATAATTACAATTGCAACTACTGCGATTTCACTTGTTCGACGAAAAGAGTTCTCAACGAGCACAAAATGTACCATCGCGTCGTGCACGACAGCAACGTTTACATCTGCAACTACTGCGAATTCAAGGCGGACAAAAAGGCAATAATTTGCACCCACATCAAGAGAAAACACCTTCGAGCTACTCAACAAAAAAAACAATATTACACCTGCGAGCAGTGCGACTACAAAAACAAGAGCAAATACGAACTGAAAATCCACGTCATAAGGCGACACACGGACGATTTTAAATTCGACTGCGAAACTTGTGGCAAGAAATTCAAAGTCAGAGGCGATTTGACAAATCACGTGCGATTCTCGCACAAGGAACAACCTGTGATTTGTGACGTTTGCGGAAAGACTTGCATGAATAGTAATTCCCTTTACGTGCATCAGAAATTCGCCCACTATAAGGCGCAATTCGAGTGTCATTTGTGTAAGAGACGAATGGTGAGTGAGGAGAATTTACAGGAGCACTTATTGAAGCAGCATGAGCAAAGGGAGAATGCCGTTTGTGAGGAGTGCGGTAAAACGTTCACGAGAAATTCTCGATTGAAAATACACATGAGAGTTCATACGGGCGATAAACCGTATCCGTGTACAATTTGTCAAAAATCATTTGCACGTCGAACGGCACTCAAGCAACATTTACTCATTCACACTGGAATACGACCGTACGTTTGCGATATTTGCGGGAAATCATTCACCCAAAAACCGGGATTGATCAGTCATCGAAAATCTCATCCAGGCTCACATCCACCGTTGCCGAGAGTTCAAATTGATCACATTTTAAACGACGTCATGAATAGATAACGATAATCGCGAATTTTTTATGCAAAAATTCTTCTACTTCTTTTTGTTGAAAACACTAAACTGAGGGAAATTGAAGAAAAATAACTTTCCAACGGTGACGTGCCTGAAAAGCAAACGACTTTACACAAAATTATTTTTTTCACACAAACGAAATTCTATTTTTGGCAAATAAATATTTTTCTTGACAAATAAATTTTATTTGAGAAACGTAATGGTATTTGCTTCAAATACCGAAATTCGTGATTTCAATAAAAATTTTCTGATTCAAATAAAAGATTTCTTGTTAATAAAAAAATAGTCTATCAAAAAAAATATTTATTTGTGTCAAGTAAATATTTATTTTTGTCAAATAATTTTTTTTTGAGTCAATTAAATGGTATTTGCTTCAAATATCAAAATTTATAAGTTAAATAAAATTTTTTTGATTCAAATAAAAGTTTTCTTGTCAATAAAAAAAAAGTCTATCAAAAAAATATTTGTGTCAAATAATATTTATTTCAGTCAATTAAATAGTATTTGCTTTAAATACCGAAATTGATGATTTAAATAAATGGTTTCCCGACATTAAAATTTTCTATAAAATAATAATAATACAATCGGTGTTAAAAAATATTTATTGTGCCAAATAAATGCATATTTTTTTAAATAAATATTTTTTTTGTTAAACAATTTTTATTTAAGTCAAAAAATATTTATTTTAGTCAAAAATTTTTATTTGTTGCAAATAAA